GGGTTTGGCCTGGGCGCCTGCAGCTAGGCCTAGTTTCCCAGGCCCGGCCCTTCTCTCTCCTTCCCTCAGAGGCTGTCATTCGCTGCCATGTCGGTCAATCCCATGGCCTACGAAGCGCAGTTCTTTGGCTTCACTCCCCAGACGTGCATGCTGCGCGTCTACATCGCCTTTCAGGACTACCTCTTCGAAATGATGCTGGTGGTGGAGAGCGTGATTCTGAAGAAGCTGGACGAGTCTCCCGGTTGTAAAATCAGCCACCTCCAAATCCGCAAAAGCACAGAGAAATTTCTTTGCTTCATGAAGGAGCACTTCGATAAACTCTTCAGTAAAATGGAAGAAGTGCTGCTGCAGCTGGTACTGAGCATCCCCCAGAACGTGCTGCTCCCCGAGGATAAGGCCCAGGAGCAGTACCCCTACAGCAAGGAACAATTCCAGGTACTCCAGGAGGAGATCCGGCAGCTGAAGCAGCAGTGCAGGGCTGAGGCAGCTGCTGGGCAGGCTCTGCGAGCAGAGCTGGAAGAACAGAAGGCTGTTCAGGCCGAGCTGGAGAAGATTTTGCAGTGGTTTGATGGGCTTGAGAATATCTGCAGGGAGAATGGGACTGGCAACTTCAATGAAAGTTTTGCATTCTTGATGCAGAACTGCAAGAAACTGCAAGATGTGCTGAAAGACGTCGAAGAGAAAAGCAATAAAATAAAGAAGCATGATCAGTTACTGTAATGGAAATTCTGAAAAGGCAACAAAAATAATTTAGACAGCTTGCTTAAAATGATATGGGCTTACCTTTCCAGAAGCATCTCCTCTAATCTCTTACCCCTCTAACCTTGCAAGGACCTAGACTAAAAACTGCTGAACTGTGCCGGTTTTCAGCCATTTAGCACCTCCCAAGGTGAGGTGCAGGGAGAGGGGAAAAAAACCTGTAAAAGGTAACTCTGGAACTGGTGATTGGGAATCAATTTGGGGTTGGGTAACTTGGCTGTCAAGGTACCTTCCTGACCTTAACTTTGAACACAATATAGCATTTGCTAATATTAAGGATTATTAAGAAGAAAAAGAAAAAAAAAAAGTGAATTTCAGAGTGATATCAGCCCTGAGGCAATGTTTCTATCAGTGAGGACAGGGGGACTCTGTTCTAGCTTCCCAAAGGAGCTGTGCTGTACAGGCACAAGCAACGTGATCTCCTTGGCCTACTTCAGCTTATGTCTTCTATAGATAAATATTTGTTTTGATTAGTGTTGTCCAGTGCCCTTTCTCTACTAAACAGCAATGTTGATTTTATTCCTGTTTAATCAGTTTCCTGTACAGTTTTCCTGTTTCATCTATCATGAAATACCAATATTAATTTCTACTTTACTAGCACAGATGTTTGAAAGATACTAAACTTGTGAAAATTTAGAAGTTACTGCAATTAAAAATGTATTAAAAGCATAAAATACATTTTGAAATTCTTTATTCTCCAACTTCTGAATACTTCCTGCAGAATCAGCTTGGTAAAAGCCGTGTCTTTAAACAGGCACTGCCCTGATGTGCAGCTGGAGGCCTGTGAGACTTGGTGGCTGCTCTTGAAATCCTCATCCAGGAAATTAATTTTTGATGTTGAGCTCTGCCCTGCTGTAGTGAATGTTTGGAGCTAGAGCTCCAAGGAGAAAAAAAATAGGGAATTGGGTAAAAATTAAGTTGCATTTTTAGAAAACTACTTAGTGACTTAAAAGTTATCTAATATTCCCTAAGTTTGAAGAGGAGAAAAATGTTGTAATTTATATAATGTCTGCTGTAGATAATCTTACTGAGAAAGTGTGCATTTTAAACCGTCACCAACAGTTTTGTTATTGCAGTAATCAAGCAGCCACCAGTCTAAATTTCATGCAGGTACGTAGGTTTAGTTTCATTTCATGCTAAACTGTAAAGAACATTTGCAAAACCTGCTAAGAAGCACAGGTGCTCACTTGAATCCAAAAAGCCCACAGCGGTTCCACGAGAGAAGATACAGGCAAGAATTTGCTGAAGGGGTTGAAACAATCAATGGCTGCCTGTTCTTCAGGGCAATTGCTTTCCAGATCTCATCATAATATATCACTGAAGTCCTCAAAATTGTTGGTACCTGGTATTAGAAATAAAAAGGAGGAACATGTGATGTGAAAGCCAGTGCTGATGCACTAGAAGCCTCTTCCTTTCTGTCTGCAGTCCTGGATAAAAGCACCCGTGTCCCAGCTGCAAATGTCTTTGTGCAAATTTGTGTAACATTTCAGCATCTGCAGTCGGGGTTTGCATTGCCATGGGTTGCATTGGCACGTGGGCACTGACTTCTGCTGAATTAGGTCTTGTAATGTATTTATTTCTGAAAAAGGGGTGGGGGGTTATTTTTGGTTAATGAATAAATTGATATGAACACATAAGCCAGCCATTTACAACTAATAACTAGGCTCTCAACAGGGGATTTATTACACTGGGCTCCTTGTTTAGAGTTCTCTTCAGCCGTGATTAAATGCCCCTGGGTCTGATGACAGAACTGTTTAGTTGAAATAAATGCTGTATGGGGAGGAGCAGATCTGGAAAGGAGAAAAAAAAAAAAAAAGGAACTTTGCTCTGACCCCTCTGGAGATACCAGCTTTTGAAATTCAACTGCTTTTAAAGTCCTGTGATCTAATTTCACTTCTTCATTTTTGCTCATAAATTCACTTTTAAGAATAAAAGTCTTTACTTCGTGCTGCGATTTCCATGTATTGCTGTACCACGCTGCTCAAGCAAAATCCTCTGTAACATCAAATAAGTAAACACCTCAAATAAGTAAATTTGGTATCAAACATCCAACCTTCCTGGTGCAGGGATTTAAGAGACACCAGGGAGCACTGGGCTCAGCAGGGCCATACCTGCACCGGCCTCGCACCCTCCTACGCATGCCCCTTCCTACCTGCTCCCCAAAATGACATCCTATCACGTGTGCTCCTGTCATTTGAGTCATTGTAATGAAATATTTTGAAATCAATTCTTTCTTGATGTTCTGGAGAATGGAGGTGTCCAGCGCTCGCTGACATGAGCCTGGGAGCTGCTGCTGTGCTTTGCCTCTGCAGTTTGACAAAGCTCCTTAGGCAGCTGCTTGCAAACGTCCCACTCTGCTCTGGGCTGCTGCTGCCTGAATCCCTAATTCAGGGAAGCTCCAGAGCCTGGCCCATCATCCTCAGATAACCAGAGGCACTCATACAGTGTTATGGCATCTGGCGAAGGCCATCAGCTTTTCCTTCCAGCTTCACCTGCTGCTCATCCTTCAGCTACCGGCACTCTCTCGTTTTCAGGAAAACTCACCCCAAGGAATAAGAAGCACTTTCTGGCTGCGGGGGAGGGGGGTGACAGAACGGACGTGCAGCCGGATTTGCAGCCCCCGTGCATGGAGGAAGGGGTTGGGTGCAGCAGGGAAGGAGCTGGCACTATGTCTCAGGTGTGGAGGTGTCCCCAGAATGCCTTGCAAACACCTGCAGGTTCAGTTCCCAATGCAAGGAGAGAAAAGACAAATGAAATTAAGACTTTTTTCTTTGCAGCATTCACAGCCCCCCCCCGCCTCCACTTGGGGCTGGGCAATGAAGCTTTCCTTGACATGTATATATACCATATATATATACACGATAAATGATGGTGTAATTGGCAGCCATCCCACGCCTGGCAAAATGCTAGCCTAGGGCCGGGGGGAGGGGGGGTACCATATGCCTCCTCATTAAAAGCTTTAAACGCAGGAAACGCCGGTGGCAGTCACACACTTGAATTTCTTCACCTCAAGCTGGCGGCAGGTCAGCTCCCTCCCTTGCTGGCAGCCCCCCGGCGGCTGGGCCTGCTGTCCCCGCCGCGCCCCCATCCCGCAGCAGGGCTGAAGGGACCAACAGGGCAGGGAGGAGATGCTTGTGTGACACCATCCCATCAGAATGATCAAAAAAAGCCCCATTGTGCCAAAAAAAGTTTCTTTCACGGGGATTTTGGCTGGCTCAGACTAAGCAATAGCATCCCCTTCCTGAAACACAGCTCTGAGAAACCGCCGCCGGCCAAAAAAAAAAAGTGATCCCGGCTGGCGTGCACAGCAGCTTTTCCCCAACGTGTTTGCACACCACACGCCGTAAAATCGGATGGGAGTGAAAGCACCGAGTGCCTTTGTGCGATTTATGGGAGCTGCCCTGGTGCTGCCCAGTCCTGCACCGCAGCCCCTGCACTAAAATAAATGGGGCATTCAGATCACGTTAGTGGCAAAACATTGATTTACTCAACTGAAGAAACTCAGTCAGGGCTTGGTTGCTTAATGCTCCTGGCTGTGTTTGCTGGACCTCCCTGGAAATTGCTTCAGAGAAGAACACAGTGAATGGCTTTTTCTGACTCAAGGAGAAGAAAAGAAAAAAAAATTGAAAATGTTTAGCTTCAAAGGGATCACTTTCACATATAAGATCATTTTTCCCCCCCTAATTAAACCAGAAAGAAAAAAGGGTGATTAAACAGCTTATGCTAGAGGGAAGCCTAGGAGGCGGCCGTGCAGCTTGGCGTGGAGCAGCACTGTAACACAAAGGGTGAGATTTATAACGGGGTTACTTGTGGTCCGTGTCCCTGGGGACAGGACAAACTGCACGGCTGGGGGCGTTTCCCCAGCCGCTCACTCTGCCCCGCATCCACCCCAACTTCCCAGTCGGTTTTAAGCGGCAGTCATGGCTCCCAGAGCCAAACTTAGAATGACAAAGCGTGATTCAGGGGTTGTTTTAGCTCTGTCTTGGGTGTCAGTGAGGACTCGGGCTTTTGCTTTAAAGATACCACCTATCTGTAGCCAGACCATGCCCAAAGCCTGGGCAGAAACTGCTTACCAGCACACAAACCCACAGCTTATAAAGATATGCACCAGCATCTGAGATCAGACCCAGCAGAAACATCTTCCCATCTTTGGTTGGAAATCATTGCAGCAGTCTTAATGTCAGCCTGAAGTAAAAAAAAAATATTATAAAAGCAGCAACTGAAGTAGAGAAATTATGTTGAGGCAAGATCGAGCCTTTGGAGCTCATTTCCATGTCCAGACCCGGCCAGGTGACGATGCCCCAAAACAGGACACTTTGCACCCGATGGTTTCACTCCTGTAACCCCTCTGCTTGGTGCCCTCTCACCTGCTCTGGTTATTTTCACCCCCTTCTCCCTCAGTCTGGCTCCTCACTGCAGAGCCTCTGCCCAGGCAGTCATGGCTCCCATCTGCCAGCTTCTGGGGATTTTATTACCTCTCATTTCCCTGCAGAAAGGAAATTCTCCTGCTGCTTTGCCTTGCTTATCCCTCTTGGGCTGTTATTACTCCTACTTACATGACTCAGAATATTATTCCCTCCTGTCACCTTCATTTCTAATAATTACTATTTGGTGAAACGCTACAGCAGAAATCAGCTCTTAATGAATATTACAGTAAGCACTAAATTATAATTTACTGCTTGAGAAATCAATTTTGAAATACATCCCACTTAAAAGAAAATGAGGGGGAGCGACTTTCAAGGCATTAACCTGGCTGGATCAAAATCCAAATTGAGTCCCCAGTGAGATCCCAAAACGACCAGGAACACCTGGAGAAAACCCTTTCCAAACAGGGCAAGGGCTATTGGAGGTATTTACTGCCCTTGAACATGACCCTGACCACGTCCTGGGGCTTTATGCACAACGACGGTGGTGATGTGACACACTGAGGTGGGACCAGGATGCTGCATCTTTTTCCACTT